TTACTGCCTGTGTGGCACATAACATCTGGAGTACTTGTTTCCTAAAAGCAAGCTGAAATGTGCTTTGTTTTTCTGACTGTGAGATGGGAGGTCTCTGCAGTGTTTATGGTTTCCTCCTAATTTAAAATGCATTTTTAGAAAGAGCTGCTGGCACAAGTTTATGCTATTGTATAAGATACATTTTCCTGTTCCCATTACTATTCATAAGTTGGCATTTTTTTCTCTGGAGCTTGACTCATAAACCTGATTTGAATCTTTTCTTTTCATATTTACTAACTGCTTGAACATCCTGGGGTAAAAAATTCATATTGTAGTCACAGTCTGTAATTGTCCTCTTATCTTTAAGCTTTTCATTTTCTTCTGAAAAATTGTTGTTCTGCATTTCACTAATGGAGAAACAAAGACTAAGTGGCACCAACCCACCCTGGTGATGCACAGTTGTAATGATATTATCGTCATTAAAGTGGTATGATTTAGATAACACATGACAGCTGGGAGTTTCCCACTAAATGAGAAACAATCAGACACTAATTTGTGGTGCTTTGCAAAAGTATCAATATTTCTTGAATGTTTCACATCAATTCAAAGCAGAATAAAACCTGATATGTTGTTTTCCAAGTTTTTGTTTATAGAAATCTGAAAAGTTTGGCTGACATTTATTCAGCTCCTGTTGCTCTTTCACCCGTGAAAAGGAAACGCAAAGAGATCCACAGCTCTGGTGGAAGAATCTGGAAAAAACATTGGACAAGTATTAGTTGTACTTGTTGAACAGATCTGGGGTATATATAACAATGAAAATATGTCTTTCAGCTGAAATCACAGTGAAAGGTAGTTGTAAAAAAGGCTAAATATATATGCACACCTCCCCTTTTGTATTATTTTGCTATAAAAATCCATGCATAATTTTCTTCACACTTTACAATTTATCACTATTTTTCTTACAAAAGGCTATAATTAACTACATTCAGAAAAGTGAAAAAGATAAATGGACACTAGCAGAAATAAATAAATAAATACTCTGCATTCCACCCACTTTACTGACTTTCACATTAATCAGCTTAAGCAAGAGGAATCAGCTGGTGGGCTGCAGAAATAACAATGTTACCTGTGGTATTTGTTTGTCACCTGTGAGCACAACTTAGAAGATCACAGAGGGGCTCAGAGAGACGTTTGACCTGTGAGGCATTACTAAATCAACATTGATTTTCTCCTGCTTCATTCGTTGAGGCATTATCACAAGGCAGCTTCACTTCAAGCTGAATTGCCTGCTAGAACTGGGTTTTCAATCACATATTTATCCGCACTTTGCTTGTCTTTTACATAAATACTGGTTACTTTGTTAAACACCCTCGTAAGGACAGCCCATAGTTATTACATTTTGCATCTTGACAAAAATTTTAGACGTTCTTGTAACTTTTCTTGTATCACATTTACTTCTAGAACTGCTTCAGGTGTTTTTTTCCTCTCCTTCCTAATTACTAAACTCTAGCAGTCTTGTTTTGACTTTCCTCTCATCCTTTCTCAGAAATGAGAGTCCATCCCCACCCAACTTCTCTGAAACACTCACATCTACTGCTAATAGGAGATTAAGTACTGTAATTTCTACAACTTATGACTCTATTTTCGATGAAAGCTTCACTGGAGGGGGTTTGACCAAAAGCCTCTCATTCTGGTGAGTCACATCCTAATGAGGCCCGAAAGCCTGCTGGGCTTGTGTGCTGCTCTTGCAGCCTCTGGAGACGGTGGATAGACAGAGGAACATCTGTAACAGGAACTGCAGAGGAGCAAGACTGGAAGGCTTTTGGCTTATATCTGTGTGCTTGGGACAGCATAAGGAGAGATTAGGCTGAGATTTGCAGAACTCGTAAGCAGGTCTCTCATTTGCCTTTTTCAAAGAACTCCACTAACAGCATCAGCTGTGGAGAAGAACTTTGAAACGTTTTTGGCAATTAAAGATATCAAGGAAAAGCTTGAGGAATATAACACAGAGGCCATATAGCCAATCTCCCTTGATCCCAGTCCAATTGGCCATCGATGAAATTAAACAAAACGAGCCAGATGGGGCCACAGTGCAGAAGGCTTAAAAATATCTCTACCTAAGTTTAAACATTAATTTACATTGCTAGGGTGGCTACCTGCTCACAGATGATGGATGTTTAGAGAAACCAGTTTATTACCTGAACACCTCAACGTTGTGAACCAGAAATAAATCCGGGGAGAGACGATGCGAACAGACTCAGTTAAAAAATATATATTTCAAACATTGTGTTTCAGTCATTGCGGTTTATAGTTCTTCACATTATATGATGTACTTTTATTTTGCTATTTGTTCATATGTTTACAGACAAACTGGCAGGTTCAACATTTTCAGTGCATCACCATGAGATTTAAACTGCATTTATATTTGGCAAGTGCTATTCAGAGTTTTCTTCCACATTGTTGATTGGAAGTCTAGTTATGCCACCCTTTACTGGCTGCACAATTTGTTCTAGTTTTTGCCTATTCCTATTTTCTTAGTGAAAAAAATTAAATAAATTAGGTTAAACTATTCTACAGAAGCTGAGTAAACACACAAAGTGAGAAAATCAAGAAAAGAAGTTAGGTTTTGCTATTTAAGCACGGATGTTGTCCAAGTGTCATGCTGGTTTCTCATTCTGAAACAATAGTGGCTACCGTCCACCCACACATTGCTGAAGTTTTCAAAAGATGTGATCCCCCTCCATGCGCAAACCGTTTATCTTTTTGTCTCTGATGTGGCTTTAAAATGAACACAGGTTTATATGCATTTATATGTCCCTTTGTTTTGTACGACATAGTCATTAAACCTGAGAGAAGATCTACATCAGGGGTTTTACACAGTCTGAAACAGTAATCAGCTGTGAAAAAAAATTGACCACTCTCAAGTAAAGGCCACTAGCACCAATAAAACCTTTTAAGAAAACAAATGTAATTCATTTTAAATGAATAATATTACGCAGTAGACTTTGTCATCTCGCCATGTCGGCCTACATGTTCTCATCTTTCTGTTTTCACTTTTTTCTTCATCCTACCCATGTAAAGTGAAGCAGCATCCATGCATTCATGCTTTCAACACAGCTACTCTGCAAGCAGATGCTTCACTATGAGTGCACAGTGCATGTGATCATCATTGAAACTGGTAGAGTTCTGATGTCTGGTGCTACTGCCTCAATAATGAAAGACTAGAGAATTGAACCTTGAAAGTTGACTGTGTCACAGACCTTTAGTTGGTCTGGTCAGAAGAAAAGTGGATGCATAAATCATACAAATATAGTAAGGAAGCAGCGGATTTACTGAGAGGCAGCATATTGTGCTGTCTAAATCACTGTTGTCTGAATCTTAGCTTTTTTCCCTGACATGGTTTAGTTAATGGTATTCAGAATTAATTGAGCTGGAAAATTTCCTGACATTGTGTCTCCTTTCTGCAGCCAGCCTCTTTGATCTATTGTTGTGGATTCATTCTAAGTGCCTTGTGCTGTTAACCGCAGATTCCGGTTCAGAGACGAAGAACTGGTATGACTTGACCACAAGACATCTTTCTTTATTGTGGCCTCACACTCGAGCATGTGACCAATGTGTAGCTCAAAGATGGCAGATTCAAAGCCAGAGAACACAATCTATTTCAGCACAAAAGTACGAGATAAAATCTTATATCACACAGATTGATTTCTGGCAGAAAATGTTAGTGTTAGTATCTGCATAGAAAATTCTAAAAACTCAGCTTGGTCTATTATTTATTTTTCTTTAGATGAAGGTGTGAGCCGAATGTTGTTTTGCTTTATGTTTAAAGTGAAACTAGGGTAAACAGAAGAGAAATGTCCTTTCATTCTGCGAGTGCATACTCTACACACCAAAGCCACTATAATTAAGAGCCTGAAGACCAGCTGCATCTTGCGTTTTACAGATGGTCCCTTCACACATTAATAAGCAGGGGGTTAATAACCCATAAAATCAATATTTTGTCACATTTTTGGGAAAACTGACCTTCTGCTTGTTCCTGCATGGATGATAAAATATGCAGAAACATTACCTGGATGGTGATCAGCATTCCTTATGTTGTCAAACCACCTCTTAGATCCAATTAACAATACACAGATGTTCTGATTCTGCAAAGTAATGAGCACATTATTTAATAAGGTCCCTGGAATGTGTGGCAGAGGACTCAAGGCTGGCATTTCTTTAAGGCGCCCATTTATTTTCACCCTCTGCTGAAATGATCATTTCATATTTCACTCACAATCTTACATCTCACTGAGAGTCCACACGTGCCACTCGTCTTTAATTTCCACATTGTGGAGATGCAATGTGAAAGGAGTCATAGCAAATGCACGGATCATGTGTCTCAAAGGGAGGATTAATCTTAATTAGAATCTGTTTTTGCCTTCCACTTTATGCTAATGGAATACTATTTGTATGTCTGAAAGAAATGATGGATTTTCTTATTGGTGACTGGATGATAAACTTTAGTTGTTAGTCCACATTTTATATTGGACAGTTCATAATTTCACCACTTCAATATGCAGCAAGCATTTCAAAATGAGGCCACTTTGTATTATAATGGCAGAGAGGAGCTCAATACTTCTCCTCGGTTGTGAGTACAGTATATGCTCCCGCCCTGCTGTTCGTATGCATTTTAAGTGGGAACTTTAGATTCATGGGATCTTAGCTGCTGACAATCCATCACCCTCTGAAAGGGTAAAGTATGAAATATTTAAACCTCTGGTCTCTTCAATTGTACTCTAATTTATGTCCCCCAGTCCTGACATTCGATTTTGCTGTCTCGACACTGAGAGCGGAGTGAAGCTTTCCTCATTAAAGACCACGTTTCTGCTACACTGAGATGGAAAACTTAATCACTTTGAATAACCTTATGCATTTTTAAATGAACGCTAAAAGCCTTTCTAGAAGACTTTCCAATTCACGGCATATTTCTTGCCACTCTCTCTTCTTCTGACTAACTCTTCACCCTCTTTTTCTTACAGCAGGGGAATGATCCAGCTATAGCCTGAACGGGCCAGACGTCAGCAGGATGAGTTCAGAGGATCGCAGCTCAGCCATGTCACAGAAGATCTCCTCCTTATCGAGGAGCAACAGCAGCTCCTCGTCCAAGCACGACAGCCGACAGGTAACAATATTTGAATGTGAGGGGGGGAGGGATGTTTGATAACTGATTTTATCAGCTTGCAGTTTGCATGGTGAATAAGAAGAGACTCTGTATGACTCAGCTGCTCTTCAAATTCCTCATTTGAGCACAAAAATCTTTATTTTGCACTAACTTACCTAAATCAGCTTAGAAAAAATGCCTGTTGCACAAGGTGAGGAAGCGTTGACCTTTTATGACCAAACATGGTCACAAATCTCTGTACAGTACATAGTTAAAGGGTCTTGTCCTCCAGGACTGGGATCTTTTAACTACTTTGTTTATGACAGTGCTAACTTTCTGTTTTTGTTTTGTTTTGCCATGAATGTTCTGTGAACTCAGTGTGCTGCTACCAGGGCCGGCCCAAGACAAAGCAAATTAGGCTTGATAGCGACCTGGAATGGTCCAGTTCAACAGCCAAACATTTGTGGTATAGGGTCTTTGTGTTTGTGTGAAACCAGAGTCCTGCTAATGGCCTGACTATATGACTCTGTTGTGTTGAAGCAGAAACACATCTGTAAGTCGTAGGACGCCAATGCTCGAGGACTGGAGTTGAAGCAATTCCTGTACTGTAACAAGAGAAGGTTTTCGGTGCACCTTTTCAACGGCTTATCAACAGAAGTTAATCAGCAACTCGATGCATTGAGGATGTGGGGTGTTTGCTGTTGGCAGAGAGCTTTGTTCGAGAAACTGGAGCCGGCTTTCCTGGGAATGTTCAAAGAAAGAGAAAATATCCAGTGAGTCACAGTTGTTTGCATTAGGAGAAAATGAAGACTCAAATAACTAGACACATGTCACAAGCAAGACATTCGAAACACCATTCTTAATGCTCAATTGTTGGAGGCTGCTGGTGGTAGGGTGTTTTATTCCCTTCGACCCCTTAGTAACAAGTGAGCCATTTAAAATAAAATTGAGTTTTCTTTACTCCAATGGTCTTTGTAGTCACCAGATCTCAATCCAGTGTAGCATCGTTATGTGAAATTGGAGAGTTGCATCACAGATAGAAACCCTGCTATGTTCAATATCGACCAAATTCTCTTAAGAATGTTTTTAAAAAATAAAAAAAACAACCTTGAAACTTTCTTCTTTTGTGCAATCCACAGCATGCACTCCAAAGAGCGTTGCTACATAAGACGCTCTAGCTGTTATGTTCCGGCTGATCAGTCAGGGCCAGGCAAACAGAAAATCAATTTGAAAGAACAATCAATAGATTTTATATTTTACATTTTTTTGCTTTCATTTTAACGACTACCACAGAACTGACTTCCTTTTCGGGAGATGTAATTCGAGCATTATCCACCAGACAAACTTTTGAGTAATCATTTAATAGGAGTAACAAATAGAGGAGCAGAAAAGATATTTTCATTAACAGAAAACCACAAAAACAAAAATAAATAATAAAAAAAAAGATTCTGCAATTATGCCAGGGGTATGTTTAGATCTCTACTCTGTAAGCTTACATCAGACTAAGCTCCTTATTTTAATTCATGAAAAATGACGTCATGTCCAAATTTAGTAAGGTGTTTAATTTACAAAGGATGTACTGTTTCAATTTGAATCCAAATTAGGAAATGAGTCAGCCGACTTTGTTAGTCAGAAAGGCAGAATGAGGCAGGAGTGATGTAAGTTGGGAGAGATGAACTGAATCAGAGTGGATTTGGACAGTGAATCATGCAGGTGTGGACAGGCCAGAAAGCCTGGGAGTTAAAGGGGAAAAAAGGAGGATTACTGCAAATCCAGCCATCCAAAACATTGAAGTATTAGATTAAGCTCTGAGAGCAGGTGTTTGACTCTCCAACCTGGCAGTGAAGTTGTGGAAGAAGCAGCTGAGACCGCAGGAGATAAGAGTTGGCTTTAGTCTGCGACAGTAGTGCACTTGATCCACCTGTTGCAATCAGCACGAGACACTCAAAGAGAAAGAGGCAATATTCTTGCTTGAAAGCAAGAATATTTAGCAGAGAGTAGAGAATGTAGCAATTTATTTTTCATTGTCATATTAGTCAGAAACTGGAACCAAAAGTGTAGAACATTAAGCTTTGAAGGTCAACACTTGGTCGTTAAGGACAAACAGTAAATTAGCCTTCTATGAAACATTTTAATTTGCAATTTCCATTTCAGTGGTGTTAGTAAGAAGCCCTGGTCCTCTGGGCTCCATATCACTGCTTCTTTTTGAGAAGTCTGTTGACCTTGAAGTGTCCAGTCAGTGCGCTGCAATAATGAGTCACAGTGTGACTTTGTCAGAGGAACGGCTCATGACAAACTGAGAGGGGGAGACTCAAAGAGCAGTCCACCAGCTTTGTCCTTGTCTGTCCTCATTCCTGTTTTTTTTATGTATTTATTTTTTGGTTTGGTTTTTTTAGATGCTCTCACCTTCAGCATTCACCCTGCCTGACAGATACTGTTAGCTTAACCGGGACGGGCATGCACTGAGACAACAATGTGCAAGTCACATCAGACCGCTTCCAAACACCCAAAGCCTGTCTAAACAGCCACGATGTAAAAACATCAACTGTTGAGTGAATAGCATACAGTTACATTTGATGATAGCTGTGGTATTTAAGTCATAGTGGATGTTACATATGACTGCTGCTCAGAGCTTTTTCAAGCTTTAACAATTGGCCCAGTCCAGCGTGACGTCAGCTGTCCCTGTCCCCTGGGCAGGACGATGGACAGAGGTGCAGGTAGACCAGGCGCCCCATATATGGAAACCATTAGACCTTAATCCTGCCATCTGGGGTTCGATTCCTAGCCTAGGGATCTTTGCTCCCTGTTTCCCCACCTTCCTTTTCTGTTCATTTCCTCTCTGATTACTGTAAATACAGGGAACTACTCTTTATTAATTAAAACAGCAGGAGAAGATGATAAAGTTAATGGAAAGCCATAATGTTAAAAAAAGTTCAGGACACAGGGGACTTGTTTATATGATGATTTTAAATCCAACTTTTGCAGGCAACTGGTTAAGGAACTTGGCTTTATTCTTAAATAATTCAAAAGTCTGGAATAGTTAGAAAAAGTGAATAGAAGCCTAAGCAAGGGGTTTTATTTGCAAACCCAAACAATTAAAGATGAATAAAGTACTACTGAGGACCAAAAAGGTATGACAGGCAAGCAACAAAAAAAAACTGAATGACTATATAGAGAGGAGAATAATCACAGAGATCCTGTAGGTGGTTGATTAGAGACAGATACCTGGTGTGACAAAGAGGCAGGGAGCAAACCAAAATCATGTGAAACACATAGAGGGAAAGAACAAAGTGGAGTGCACAAGAAGAGCTGTTGAAGAAATTGGTCCCTATCTGAAATCAAGACAAATCTTCACCTAAGAAGAAAGAGAACCTTAAATAATGACATGAAATTATGATTATGATATTACAGATGCACAGTTTGCATGACCAAACAGTAGTTCTTTGAATCAGCTACTGACAGAGAATATTCAACCAAATAGAGGGTGGTATCCTTTTTGTTAAAATTAATAAAAATCACTTTTCTTTAAAACCCAGTCTAGGCAGAAAACTAGTATGTCCTATGTTGTTTTAATGTTGAATGGCTTATAAACTTTACTGCATTCATATCAAGTTAAATTATTTCTGAATAGGGCCAAGCCCCCATGTTTCCACATCCTATTGCTGCCCCTGCCACACAGATATTCCAGATTCCTCTTAGGATTTCTAAAGCCTTCCTGGAAATTTCACTGCTGTAACAGAAACATGGCTGTGGGGATTAATTTTATGATAAAATATCATCTCAATCTTTGTATCTGCTGGGGATTTGGACTTAAACCTTTTAATCTCAATCTGGAAACAGTCAGACCCGACCAGAAGGCTAATTTTGTAAAATGGACCACGAGGTGAAAGTTCACAGTCATTCATTGGACACTTTGTTTCAACAGCAATCGCCCTCTGATGACTGATGGGAATGAGAGAACAAATCAAAGCAGGATTTTGATAATCACAATATCAGTATTCCTTGAACTCTCTTCAGTTTGTGTGAGGCTACACCGACAACGCATGTTGTATTTCATTTGGATACATGGAGTTCAAAAGAACTGATGTGGCCATCAGTTTTCTAGCTCTTCATAAATTGGAATGGGATTCAGATCTGACTTTGACTGGGCCACATGACTATTCTTCTGAGCTTTAGCATTGTAGTTCAGGTTGTATTTTTTTAGGTCTGTTGTCCTGAACCCCAATCTGAAATCTTCTGCGAAATGTAAGAGGAGTTCTTACCGGATTGTCTTGTATGTTTGATCAGCTTCCCTATTCCTGCTGGAGAAAAACATCCTCATATCTCATCCTCATATTTTGTTTTGATCACAGTAAAATACTTTTGAGTTTGTGGTTGTAGCACAACAAAGCATGAAAAAGTTTATCTTCAAACGGTGAGTCATTATGCCTTTAAGTGCCATGCATTAAAACTCTGCTTACCACTGGTGAATTGGAAAGGCTCTGTTTCCTCTCACTGCCCATGCCTGATGTACAGTGTATCTTAATAGCAGAGATGCTACGAGGATGAGCTGGATTAATTGTAATCGATATCATAACGATGTTTAGCAGATGCATCACAATTACATATTTTCGTCCATCTGTGCCTGCAGGACAGCTGGGAAATCGTGGAGGGTTTGCGTGGGGGGGTCAGTAATGTCCTGGAGCCGCAGAAACAGGAGGGCTACATGCTGAAGAGGAGAAAGTGGCCCATGAAGGGTTGGCACAAGGTAAAATAAAACTATTTCAAGCTCCTTAAGTTTCTTTTCATATGCTACGCTTCCCTTTGGAGTTAATTATTTCCAGCCACAATGACTGAAGGTCAATTCAATTTTACATCTTTCCTTCACAGTTTTCACGTTGCTTTTCCAGTCCTGCTGACACGCCTCATGGGCGCTTCAAACTAATTGAATGAGCTTTTGCCGCAGATGATTCCACCCTTGGAAACCATCACATGTGACTGGGGTCAGCGCCTGTTTACACTCAGTCTGAAAGCTTTTCCTCAGAAGATAATGCTTAGATATCTTAGTGTTCCACTCAGATGCATTAGCTGATGGCCTGTTGGATACTATACTGCATTTAGTATTGACTTGAAGTTGGATTTCTGGGCTTTCACCAGTCTGATTCTCATGATGTACAATAAGAGCTATGACAATTACATTTCGTGGAAGAGAAAGAGTGACTGAGTGAGAGGAGGAGTAATAGAGGCAGGCGGACACAAGAGGAGAGTCCGAGATGACAAATATCTTGCTGTCGAAAAATTAATTACAGACATCATGAAGAGGTTTTTTCTGTCACTTTTACAGAGTTATGGCAGAGTCCCTGCTTTGCCGTCAGGAATACTCCACATCCCTCGAATACATCCCGTGTATTCACTGTCACTTTCTCTCCTTACAGAGATACTTCTTCCTGGACAAGGGGATCCTTAAATATGGCAAGGGCAGTGCTGATGTGAGTACATAATTATCATGTAGTGTTGCCAGATAATTGCCACATGTTGAGATATAAGAAACTCTCAATGTAAAGTTTATTGTTTCCCAAAGAAGCAAAAAAAAAAAAAAATCCAGAATATTTACATTCATAAAGTTTAATAATATTCATTAATATGTGTGGCTGTAATGTGACAAAATGTGGTAAAATTGAAGGAGATACTGTAAAGAACACTTTTTTCCCCTCTGTAAATTCTCTCTTGTACACTTGAGAATCTTCACATAAAAGTTCATAAACTCGTCTCAGCCTCTTTATCATTGCAATGAATTATTTTGTGTGTTTTACTTGTTCTAGTCACATTTGTTAAACCAGGCAGTAAGTCAGCCTCCATGAGCCGGTAATGGGATTACTCTTTCGTTCTGAAACTGGACATCATCCTGCAGCACTTGTGTAACAATCCATCAAATATGATTGTGATATTTTGTGCCGGTGCTGCCTCACAGATTGAGAAGGGGAAACTGCATGGCTGCATTGACGTGGGTCTCTCCGTGATGGCCATTAAGAAGAAAGCCAAATGTATTGATCTTGACGCTGAGGAGAATATCTATCACCTGAAGGTAAACCGGCAAGCCAATGAGTACAGTAACTCACCCAGGTGAACAAAATGGTTTCCTTTTCTTTTTTTTTTCTTTTAGATTCCTTAACAGTAAAAAGACTTGCTTGTATTTATTGTCTTGGTTGTGAGAGGAAATGTTGGCTGATAACTTCCTGCAGGTGTTTCCACCTCCTTGACCTCGTGTTTAATTCTGATGGCAGATTAAGTCACAGGAGCTGTTTGACGAATGGGTGTCCAAGCTGCGCCACCATCGGCTCTATCGGCAGAATGAGATTGCCATGTGTGCCAACGAGAAACCCTTCTTCTACCCCATGTACCCCTCCCCCAACTCCCCTGGCATAGCTGAGGGACCCTCCTTGAGGAAGGTGCACCTGAACACTACATAGCATGCAATTAGACTCATATTGACAAGTTAATGTAGAGCAGTGGTTCCCAAAGTGTGGGGCGCGCCCCCTAGAGGGGGCACCATGCCATTGCAGGAGTGGGGGGGCAGGAAGCAGTTTGGATGAATGAAAAAACAAAAAACAGACATTTACACAAAAGTGTTTCACTGTAAAGATGTTTTGTTGCAACCTGAAGTGTGAAATAAACTTCAATGGAGTTTGAAAACAAAATATGTGTCGGTATATGTCTGGTTAAAGGATGTGTGTGCCCAGTTGATTTTTTTTTTTTTTTTTCTGTTTTGGAGGGGATTTTATTTTAATCCACAGGGGGGCCCAGCAAATCTTTGGAAACCACTGATGTAGAGAAAGATTTTCTAATGAGAGAAAGTTGTTCATGCAGTAATTTAGAGTTTGCTTGCTGCTGCAGGTCATGTCTATACGGAGGCAGTCCTCAGTGCATCCAGCATCAGGATTCCCTTTGAGCTCCAACAGCCAGGCAAAGGTAGCTGCCTGGCTCCAGTCATCAGAAGACATGGACAAATGCTCTAAAGGTGAGACTGTGACCGCTGACATAAGTGAACTTTGCAACACTCAAACAAGCTCCTAATTTCCCTGCTTAGCAGGAAACCACAAAATTACTGCATGTCAACGCAGTTTTTGAAATGCAAATGATGGTGAAACAACTCAGTTAATGCTCAGCTTTGAAGCACTGATGGCTCAGATCTCCGTTTCCTTTCTGTTCTAGTAATTATGATGTCTTGCAGCATTAACAATGGCTGATTAAACTTAGTGTTGAGTCAGTAAATAATTCAACAGAACAACCTCAGTTTCTTTTGCATTCTGTTACAAACTGCAGAGAAGGAAGCAAGTACAGTGAAATGAAATAAGATCTGGCTTGTGACTCCTGCCACTCCAGGTGATCTATTCTCCCCCGTGCAAAAAATTGTTTGCAATAATTGATAAATGCAGACAATTCAAGTACAATGCAAAGCAGTGGTTGTGCCAGTAAACCAATCATATTAATAAAATTGACCATTTCAGCAAGGAACATAGTTACACGTCTAGTCAGAATTATGCCAAAAGCTCGATATCTCAGAAATAGGACATTTTGCTTAAGGAGATTCAACCAGATATCATTGAGGATGTATGTATATATTTGAGGATTTTGTGGATTAGAGAAAATTCACAGTAACCTCAGGCATTTGTACATCTGAATCTCCTTAGCAATAATTTGCTGGATTTGTTCATAAAATGATTATTTCAAATAATTTGATAAAAGCCAAAAATTAGTATGAGATTAATGCCAGTGTAGATGATGCACAAATAATATATCTTGAGATCTGTTAAACTTCGTCTTAAAACTCCCCATATTGTCTTTAACACTAATGATGCTTATGTAAAATCTGACTTGCATATCAGATAAGACTGACTCAGTGGTGTAAATGAACAAAGGAAATCTGTAATTACAGCTGGAGTGTTTGTCTCAGGTTTCAGTCATTATAATTCTGTTGATGTGCTTTACAAAGTTAAGCATTTAGAAGATATGATTTAAATTAAGGAACCTTTTTGAAAACACTTCAAGATGCTTAGCAATGCTTTTGTTTTCACAATACCAAAACGTTACTAGAATATCCGGTGAGCAAAAACTCACTGGTATTGTTTTTGTTTGTTTTGACTTTACTTTTTTTTTCATGAACAATGATGTCCTTCTTTGAAAAACTAAACATGTGTACAAAGTCAGGAAACAATAAATTCCAAGGTTTGTAAAAATGTTTGTGATTGAAAGAAGATGACACTCAATGTGGCAAAAATGAACAATAATTTAATCTGCAGAGCATTGAAATAGCTCTTAATATCCATACAATAATTGATCACTATGTAAAGAGTCTTCAGGAAGTCAGACATGGGATATCTCTCCAACAATCGTTTATAAATGTTAAAAGTGAGCAATCAAAATGCTCTGCGTGACTTAATAAATGGTAAGAGTACATTTCACTTGACCTCCCTAAACGTTTCCAACTCATCCAAAATACATCAAGCAGGTTTTGTTGAAATTGTACATTAGAGGTTGGTTTGTTTGGTCACATTGTTTTGTTCCTGTTAGAAAAGATTACCACGTTTATACCACTTTTAAAAGTGGTATAAACCAAACCAGTGAATATCTTCCAGAGAGTATATGCTAAAGTGGTGACCTGTTTTGTCATTTTTGTTATTATTTCCTTTTATTAGACCTTGCGGAGTGTGAGGCCTACCTGCAGGAGCTGAACCACCTGATACAGAGCATGGAAGTCCTGCACCGCACTTATTCTGCTCCATCTATTCAAGCACTACAGGTCAGGCTGTTTGCTTTAACCATTTAAAACAGGTCTGATTGAAATGACTGCAATACGGCATGACTCATACTGTAAATCATATCCAAAATACCACGACTCGTAATGTATTTAAAATAACTTTCTTGTATTTTGTCAAGTTATCTGCTGCCAAATTTAAAATCTTTTTTCATTTCGCAAAGGTTATGGAATTGTCTTTTTCTTTTGAAAATAAACTTTGTCCTCATTAGATTTTTCTTCTGTCTTTACTAGGCATCCACATTGGACAGTCCCAAAAAAGAAAAGAGACTTCAAAGGAAATGGCGCAATAAAAACTACAATAAAGATGTCAAAACAACTCTGCAGGTAGCTAGAATGACAACAAAGTGTGACCAAGCTTGATATTTTCCTGGTGTGAGTTTGTGAAATAAAACCCATTTTCCCATTGCTATTACTGTAGGTACCCAGCTGCATCTCCTCTGGCTCGATCCGCCTTCATGCCTCCAACCCCAATCTCTCCACCGCTACACTCGGAAATGACAAAGTCGACCCCGAATCCCTGGATTCACAGTTTGACGTAGCAAAGCTGCAGGAGGACTTCTGCCGTGTTGCCACCAACTGTGAGTTAAAACTGCTGATTTATTTCACAGTGTGAAGAAATGCTCGAGGAAAGCTTGCTGTCGATCGTCACATCCTTTGGTCACTTTTGCCAAATCAGTCAGTCTTCTGTACCTGTTGGGTCTGGTTATTAGTTTTGTCCTGGTCTTAGTAAGAAGATCTTTGGATTGAAAGTCTATATAATAATGGCATAATTTTTCTTTCTTGTTAAAATAAACTCCTAAATTTATTCGAGGGCTCAGTGGATATTGTATTTGTATTTTAAATAACATAACATGTACATGGTGACGTCACAAATTTTAGCATAGTGCCCCTCAGTAATTACATATGTAATTTAAAGGGATTTAAAGACTTTTTGATTTAAAATAAATACACCAACCCCCTGAAATTAACCATTTACAGATCATTTTGACCTTTTGGTATGTAGACGTGCTGAAGAAAATTTTTGTAGATAAAATTGGGCATCAGGATAGAGAATATATGGGATTTAAACGACTTTAAATGAGGTGTTGTTTGGTGGTGCAGCATTTCAAAAATCAGTTATCTACAAGGATTTTTTTGCGGATAAACTGTTTTTAAGTTTTACAGAGAATGTTTTAGCAAAGACAACAACATCCACAGAACAGAGCCATAACTGTGAGATATTCATGACAACAGCTAGAATCGGTTTACCTTGACCTTGGTCCCAACTTTAATATTTTAGGATGGAAAATCCATATGATGAAAATGGAGTTGCATTGCAACTTTCAACCACATCTGGTGAGGTTGCGCATATACTCCCATAAACTTTCTAGTGCTATTGGCAATCGTGGTCAGAGGAGCAGGAAGCTGCTTTCAACTGTTATCATGATTTTGTCTTGAACATAGAAGTCTATAATGTTCTTACTGAGCACAGACAACTCTCTCCTTTACATCTGTTTCTGATCCGCGTTCAGCCACTTGGACACAAAAATGCCGGAATACAAAGGAGCTCATTTCTTTAAAACTGGCCAAATGTGGACTGCTTTGTGCACTGAGAGTACAGCATTCACTCCACCTACAAAGGCTGACGGTCCTTGACGCAACTAAGCTGTGTCCATTCCAGGTCTCTGCCTTTCCCTGCAGAGCTGTCAGATGAAGAATACTCGTACCAAATAACTACTTTTTTAAAAAATAGGCTCAGACTAAATGCCTGCAGACCTCAGTGATACTGTTCAAACTTAAACACAAAATTGGACATATCAGTGTAATGCAATGTCACTAATGAACCTTCCCCCACTGTTTTAGCATCACAATTGTATTTCTTTATTGTATGATAACTATTTCAACTGATTTTTGTTTACCATCGGGTCCTGACCCCTGATGTTGGACAAAATGTTGATTTTGTTTTCTGATAACGTATATGTATATATTACCTCTTAGGTTGCAAAACCAAAATATTGTTTTCCAAGAATAATCAATCCTGCCTAAGCCCAAGCTTTCTGCAGTCTTTGTAACATTATATTTAAATATTACTGCAGTTTTGCTCTCTTGTTATCCTCTTTAATTCAGCAAATGCACTGTGCCCTGTGGCTAACAAAGCAGGTTCTATTATCATCATGATTTAATGTAGGAAACTGCCATTTAAAAAGAAAGCCTCATCTTTTTTAAAGTTATTAAGTCAAGCTTCTGTTTGCAAACAATGACATTTTTCTATCATGTGGAAAAATAACTGATTGCCATGTCTGCTTTTTGTCCTTTTGGAGTCAGTTTCTGCTAAAGCAAGGCAGTGATTTGTAAGCTTTGTGTTGGAGAGGTGAGAGCAGTTAGACGATATCCACTGAGACCTGCCTTGTGCAATGACTGCTTTGAGAAGCAACCACTTGAATTTAGCAGTTTCATTAGATTTATCGCTGAACAGCGGTGCTGTTCCGTCTCAGAGGAGGACTACAAGTAGCTTCTTAGCATTTATAGAGAAATATGAAAATGAATATGAATATGCTGTGGTGCAAATCAGAAGAGATTTCTCCAAGAGAAACCTGTTGATTCATCTCTCTCAGAGACAGTTTTGAAAATCAGTGTTTTATTTTCTAAATACAGTTCTTCCACCAAAGTTATGACAATAGTTTCATCTAATAATCTTTTTTACGGAAATTGTGCATTTAAGTCAATCATTGATACTTAAATTGGTAGCATATGCTGATAACAGGTACAACACATTGACTAAAAACTGTGCATTTACTTTAAATATTAGCCTTAGACAAAGGAGGAAGTTTCATTTCAAATCATATTTGATTAAACTGAAATATGTTTTGTAGTTTGTTCTAAATTGAGAAACATTGATTTTACAGCACACAGCTGTATATTTAAAAAATGCAATATTGGTCTTCTTGATAGTTGTAAGAATGGAAATGGGATTTGTTAAAGGATGATGTACCAAGTATATTTTTTGCAACAAATTTAAAACAGACATAATCATACATGCGGCACTAATTTATCATTTTGTCAAGTTTGAACAAGAATTGATTTTTCATTGTATTTTTCAGCTGGGATCTTTCACCGTCACCACTATTTGTTGGAAGTGATGTAATACAATGGGATTCTTTAGCATGACTGCCAGATTGGTTACTTGCACAGTGTTTGGTGATGAAGTTTAACAATATATTTTTTGAAGTTTTACCTAAAAAAAATAAGAAGGATTTAAGAGTCGGTTGAAACCAAAAGTACAGCCTGGTCTTATATATGGGTGTCCAAGAGAGGTGTGTATTGGCTTTGTATTAGCTAGGTGGTCATGATATAATGAATGATGCATTTTTAAAAAATCAATAAAAGGATACATTTACAACTTAACATAACTCAACATTGTTTGAGGAAAGGATTACTCCGTCTAACAAGTAGTCACTAACCTCATGCATCATTATTCTTTGTTTGCAAAATAAGTTTGCAGACTTTTGAATGAGTATCCAAGTCATGCTCTTCAACCAAAAATACCCTGCACAGTGGGGAGTTACATGGTGAGACGTCGGGTTTAACTGAAGAAAATAATCCAATCTTCCTGTCTGACCAGCACACAGTCGTGAGATCATGTCAAAAACGGGTTAATCTTGGAATCTTTTCTCATTGCTTCAGTGCACACAACCATGAAATCAGTACTGAGCTCGCTAACATCAGAGAGGGAGAGACTGAAGCAGTGTCTGGATCACGACTCGTATCCCCCAACCTCACCCCAAGTCGTCAATCTGAAGAACACCCTGGCAGCGGTAGGTGAAGCGGTTGGTGATGTACTCTCTCAGCCAGCGGAAGTGGCTTTGGTGTTTCACCCTCTTTCTGCTTTCACACTCCCCCCTTCTCACGCTGCACGTCCTCCCACACCTCCTGTTAGACGTGACACATTGATGAGCCTTTTAGCGGGATTACTGTACAGCCTCCTAGTGTGGTGTCTGCCCACCCGAATAAGACCACATTCAACATTATTGTGTCCTGTGGCTGCTGCCTCCCACCTGGAGGCTTTTTCTGTTTTCTGTTTATAGCGTCAAATATTAGCACGCTATCAGTGAGTAAATGTGTTGGCACAAAGCACAAATAAATTCTGCGGTGGGGTAAGGAATGTTTTCATTCATTGGCCACATTAAAATGTTGGTGTTTATTGTGCCAACCTGTTTTTTTTGGGGGGGTGTTGTTTTTCCCTGATCCCTTCACATCTGTTGTAAACTAGTAGAGTGCAATAGATCTGCAAATTAAAGAAAAATGACATGTTGGAAACCAGTTTGTTTTCTAGTGTTTTCAACATAGTTTGGATTGGGTGCATAAACGTTGTTCACACCGATTATTTTTCCAGGCTTTAGCGCAGAACTCTGAGCTGAAAGAGCGCCTGAACAAGATTCATGCCGAGTCCCAGATCGTAGAGCCCTCACTAATAAATCTCCCTGCCTCTGTGCAGGTGGGTGCAGGAATGCAGTGACTTGGTTTCTACCCCATCCCATCATTATTACTACTATACCTTTTTTGAGTTTCACCCATATCAGTGAACTCCCTTACACTGAGACTCAGCCATAAAAATAAAAAATATAAGTTGCATGTTAAGTTTTTTTTTTTTCACCGTATACACATCGTTGCAGCTTGAAAAAAGACCTCAAACTCCCCATTGTCTACTAAAGTAAACCCTTTTGTTGTTTAACCAGGCATGCAGACAGTGAGAGTTGATTTTGTTCATTGTATACCTTGAAAATTATTGAAGGAACAAAAGGAAATGAGAGCACCTCTTTTGGGATCAAGTCCAGGTTAATTAACCAGTTTTAGAAATAATACAGAATAATACAGATCTATTCTCACTATCCCTCCTCACCTCTGTATAACACAAGTTTTATCATTATTATCCTATTTTGTTAAATTCAGACCATTTCATTCAAAAAATATGTTTCCTATTGTTGTCTACAATCAGAATCAAGCTTTTTGTTTTGCCAAGTACCTTCATGCATACAAGGAATTTGCTCTTGGTTACAATAGCTCACAGTGTACAGACTGACAACAATGCACAGTAGACACACACACAATCCTAACACACTCTCACACACAAAACCTTACATACCTGTAAACCTTTATAAAATGTAAAGTACATGTTTAAAAACAGCTAAATAAATACATTAAAATAATAGTGAGAAAAGTGTTCTACTGAGGATGGCAAAGTGTATTATAATGTCCAGATGTGACCAAAAAGAAAATGGTTATGAGTCAGACCACATTCATGATAGATTAATTTTGAACAATCTTTTTTATTTTCTTTCATTAAATATAGAAAAATAATGTTGCTTCCATGGAATATTAAAACGTCTGAAATGAGACAAAACTCTTGTGAGATCTTTGAGACGCAACACCAAAACTCCACTTCCCTGCAAAACAAAATCTGTGGAATCTGTGAATTATAATTTTACTAACCATTTCTGTTCGTAAAACTCCATGTCCTTCAACTTTTGCTTAATATTTTTTTCTATTTTATTCCAAAGAAGAAACCCAATCATATCATGAAGCATATTGTGCTAGACAATGCTTGATATCAGTGTTTTTCATTATCCTGCATGCCAAATATATACCTTCTTGCATATTTACTGTAAGACAGGACCCTCCATATTTATTGGCATCCTTGGTTAAGATGTGAAGTCGATGTATGGAACTTTTTTTGTCCTACTCATCCTTTTTTAACACAAGGCAAGTGGTTGTTTCTGAAATTTCCTGGTCTAATCTGACTAAATGGTTTTAGCTGAAGTCCCCGTAGAATTTTGAAAATTTCATGAAGGAAATCATTTTTTAACATGAAGATAGTACTTTTATCAAACATACAGAGTGAGGATCTGCTGCTGCAGCAGATGACTGTTTCACAAGGTTTCCCAGAAATGTCAATCAATGTGGAAGGTGTTGTGTATTCTAAACAACTGGAGCTTTGATTAGCTTTTTTTTCATTCTTGTTATGACTATGACTGTTGTTCCTTTCAGAAGCAGGATTCAGCAGAAGACCCTCATCCTCTTGTGCACCAAGTTTCCAATGAGAGCAGAGCTTCAGTTGCAGAGTCTTTGTCAGAGTTCTTTGATGCACAAGAGGTTCTCTTGTCAGCTAGCTCCTCTGAAAATGAGGTAAGTAATAATCCTGTGAAGTGTTGCACCTGACAGTCAGAGCTGGTAATGAAATGAGGATTACGTATGGCATTCAGAGACATTTTTTCTTGTTTACAGAAATATTTCGGTGTGTTGCAGCAGGTCTTCAGCAATAACTTATTTAAGATTTGAAGGGAAAAATAAATATACTGAAAATAAATATTAAAGAATGTTAACATTTGAAGTGATTCCCTCAAAATACTACTTCAACGCTACTTTTTACAGCAGTATATGCCAATTAGTGGTTATATTACACAGAGGAAAATGTGGGATTTTAATAAGCATCAACGCATTAAAAATTGTTCTAACATTGTTTCTGCTCTTCATACTTCATAATAAATAGCATAGCAGTTTGAGTGGCAGAAATGTGAAAATACAGGTTAATTACGTTCATCTAAAAATACAGCGAGGCGAGGTGCAGCTCTGTCACTGTGTGCTCAGAGAGCCTTCATCTCAACTTGTTAAAACCAGTGCTGACATGACAAGATGTTTGAAAGAGACCTGTCCACATCCTTTGTGCAAGTATGTCAGTTGTCTACCAGCTGAAGTCTCCATGTCCTTTTCCTTAGGTGTCAGATGATGACTCATACATCAGTGACATTAGTGACAACATTTCAATGGACAATTTCAGCAACGAGACAGAGAGTGAAAGACCTAACTCAGGTAATTTTCTCCTTGCAGGTCCGAAGATAAATTTGGTAAATGGCTTCTCCCTCTCAGAGAGCCTCTCTCCTACAAGCTTATCCATCTTATTCTTCCAATGCAGGTTCTGTGGAAGAAGGCTCTGTCCTTCGTACACGTAGATCCTGCCTGCCCACGCCCACCCCGACCAACAACACAATCAGCCTGTGGAACATCCTCCGAAACAATATAGGCAAAGACTTATCCAAGGTGACGATGCCTGTGCATCTTAACGAGCCCCTCAATGCCCTGCAGAGACTCTGTGAGGAGCTGGAGTACAGTGAGCTGCTGGACAGAGCTGCCATCACACAGGACCCCTTTGAACGAATGGTAAGGTAGAAAATTGGCTGTTTGCCCTTTTGCTTTGGGATTTGTTTTTTGTCTTGTGTTGACCATTTCCTAAAGAGGCAGTGTTATGTATTTTCTAGGCACATTTTATAACACAATCAAGTAACTATGTTACCTTCAAAATACTCCACATATCAAAACATATTTAAAAGAAATCTGACTATGTAAATTCAGAAAGTCATCACAACTTTGCGAGGTTTGTTAAGCCTTTAATATTGTTTAGTATGGTGTGATGAACTCAGCAAATGCACAGTTCCTCTAGGTTTTTGTTAATTGCAAAACTTGATTTGCAATTAGCCGGCAACTCCTTCAAACTCCTTTGAAGGTGAGGTAGAAGCTCAGCTTGGAAACTAAAGCTCTGAGGAGACGCTGCGTCCTCAAAGGCTGCACCTTTAAGAAAAAGTGCTCACTTTAAATATTCTTTGTCAGTCAGTAAGAATAGCACATATTTCTTGCATGTTTTTTTTTTTTTTTTTTTTTTTTACTTTTAAAGGAAGAAACTTTACATATTGAAATTTGCTTTTCTTGTGCGAGATCTGTACAACCAAAATCTGCGATTCCACTGAGTATTATGCATTATGGCGGAATTTTAAAAAATTGATTGTACTTGGAGAAATACATTCAGTCTGCTGTACAAAGCATGATAAATTATACAAGTACATGGAGAGTAGGCTGCCACAAGTTGTTGTGCAGACAAAAAAATATAAATGAGGAAAATCTATATTGAAGCACAAACAAATGCATAGAGAAAAATCCACTGAGACATCAACAAAGACTGTCTAACGAGTGTTTAGTCGCGTTAGTGAGGGAATGCGTGTTCTGACCTTAAACAATGAGGTGGAGCAGGCATCAGTGACTTTTCAGCTCCAGCATTTATTGCAGTATGTTGTTATCTGGTAATAATTTTGCACGATGTTAGTCGATACTAAGATAACATGAACAATATTTATAAGATAGTTTGAATCTTACATAAAGATCACCACACACACACACACACACACACACAGACACACACACACACAAGCAAATACACACACACACTTCTAACTGTTCTGGTTTCTGTTTGTGTAGATTTATATCGCCACATTTGTTGTGTCCGGATACGCAGCCAGCTACTACAGGACTGGAGGAAAACCTTTCAATCCTGTTCTGGGAGAGACGTATGAATGCGACCGTCCAGACAAAGGCTTTCGGTTTGTTGGTGAGCAGGTAGGATTGCTTTTGGTTCATTTGTCAGCTCTGCATACCACAATACGTGGACTGACTGACAAGTCTGAGGCAACCAGTCCTGCTTGAATGAGCAATATTATGTGTGTGACACATTAAAGACAAACGGTGTGTTTTTCTCTACGTCAGGTTAGTCATCACCCACCTATTTCAGCTTGCCATGCAGAATCTAAAAACTTTGTCTTCTGGCAAGGTATGTGTTTGTTTTTTTCTTTTTATTCATTCCCAACCTGCGTAGGATCGATGGTAATTTGCTAAACTGCTTTCATTAGATGTAAGATGTAAGAACAAATTCTGGGGAAAATCAATGGAGATTGTTCCTGTGGGTACCACTCATGTCACGCTACCAAGGTAAGTCTGTTTGCTTTGATTATCAAGCACTGGCCCAACCTTTTTTTTAATCCTGCAAAAAAATCCTGCAATAAATCCTAATGCAGATCTGACCATGTATTTTTCCTCTTCATTTTTGCTTTATTTTCACTTCGACCATTAGTCATAGTGCATTTAGGTTTGTTTAGGACATGTATTGGTTTTTAAAGCTGTGATTTCAATATAAATGTGTATAATAATGTTTACAATATGTAAAAATACCCAGGAAATAAATTAAGACAACCATTTTGTCACCTACAATACATGCGTAGAGAATAGCTGCAAATCTTTATGTGGACATTCTTGTACAAAAAGAGTCCAAGTGACAGTTGTAATAGCATTGTTGTGATTGCTCACTTTAGATTTGGGGATCACTATGAGTGGAACAAAGTGACATCCTGCATCCACAACATCCTCAGTGGTCAGCGCTGGATCGAGCACTATGGGGAGATCTCAATCAGAAACTCCAACAGCGATGTTTGCCAATGCAAGATCACTTTTATCAAGGTGATGGAAACACCTTTTTTTTTATTATTATGATTAACACTCCTCTGGTAACACATGTACATCATCAATATGTATTAAGAACATTTTTGTTTTACTATTTGTGTGTAAAGCTAAATGCTTGTAAATATGGTTTACAGTTCAAGAAGTTATAAATGTGATTTATTTATTTTTTGTCATCAGCCTAGCATTTTTATTGTTAATCACTTGAAAAACATTTGTGTGTTACACAAAGTAACTCATTTGCTTTTACAATCAAGAATGGCCATCCTAATTATAATATAAATCAGACATTCAGCTTTACTAATGCTTCCTTCAATACTTGTAATTCTTATAGAAAGTTTCAAAAGAACTCAAAAATAGTCATCCACCTTTGTGCCATCTAATAAATTACTTCAAACTACTTCATTTCTCTTTACTATGCTAGATATTCTCAAAACCAGTTATGAATGCTGTTGTCGAATGTGCACATGCACAACTGGTTCTTGGGACAATGATCACAAAAATCAGCAGAATGATTATATAAAACTAGAAAGGAATCCCAAAAATTAAATGTGATTTGAGATATTGCAAATAGTACAATGAACAAAATCAGGAACAGTCAGGCACAATCTTACTAACAAAAGTTATGTATGTATAATTCTACAAAGCTCTTTTTTGCATTTTCAAATCTTAATCTTGTAGTGGTTTGTTGCCTAGAGTGAAGGATACGAATGAAGTCAGCTCTTCTAAGTCTAAGTATCACAGTTGTCAATCAGAAAAAGGTTGACTGCTCCCTCCAGGTCCAGGGACAGTTTCTGCCTCAAGTAGAGACTCTGAAGTATCTTAGTGTTTTTCTCATGAGTGACAGCCGGGTGGAAGATGGATAGATGTGTAATGCCTCATTTGCAGTCCAGGCGGCGCATCAAAAAAGAACAGAATAAAAAATGAGAAGCTCTCAATTTGCTTGTGAGCGCACTCCTCCCTCTCAAATTTAACAGCAAAGGAAAACTTTTAATTTCCCATGCTTCCAAAACTTTGCCACTGTCAAAGAATACCAAACATCTTAATCACTTGCATGATAATTCATAGAAAATTAACACAAGTTCTGAAAAATGTTCCATGTTAAACTGCTTTGCTTGCAATTGTTTTAAATTATTAACACAAACATTTTAGAGCTAAAGAGGACCATTTGATTATGTAATGATATAATAGTGTTGCAACAGTGTTTAAGCTTTGGGAATGATGCCACTTCTGCTAGTCTAAAATATAATCCCGGTTCAGACATTAATATTATTATTCATAGCATCATTCTCTTTCATCATATGTTTGTCAGTAAATTGAATGTATTAGACTAGATTCTGTTTCTCTTTCATTACTTTCTGAACTAACCACACAGATGGTGCCTGTATCCTGCATTGCCCTGCATGTTTTTAATTGCTGATATACATCAGCCTGCCCTGATAAGAGGAGCAGGGTGATCCTTCTTGCTTGTGCCACTTGAAAGACGTCCTAAAGCTGTGCAGGATAGCAAGTCAGGACATGTCAGAACTCATTATGCATCCTCATTTCTCATCTCACACACTACATCCCTGCTGCTACTCACACCCACCCAAACACACACTTAAGTGGGCAGGAGGGGAGGATTGTTTACACAATAGTATTGTCTGCTGGCAGGAAGAGGACATTACCATGAGATGTCCATTTGCGGCCGTCGCTTATTGGTGCCTTTTCTTCCAGGCCAGATACTGGAACTCAAGCGTGAATGAGGTGGAGGGAGTCATTACGGATATCAAAGAAAAGGTCATCCACAGATTGTTTGGGAAGTGGCACGAAGCAGTTTACTGCGGAGACCCTCCGTCAGCTACCTGCATCTGGAGGGCAAGTATGTGTCTGCGTGCAATCAGCTCTTCTAGTAATTCTCCTGGTTAATGTGTCTCATTTCATTTCATTTCTGTGTAGGCCAGATGCCAATGAACTATGAGCAGTACTATGGCTTTACAAAGTTTGCAATTGAGCTAAATGAGCTGGAGCCCTCTTTGAAACAGCTACTGCCACCTACAGACACAAGACTACGAGTGGACCAGAGGTAAAGATGAAAATAAGATCGGCATATGCCTGCATATTAGCAATAATTTAATATTTCAGAGAGCTACTTTAGCAAATTTAATGTAAACCTAAAATTCAGTTTCTATTAGAATTTGAACAACACAAAGAAAACAAGACTTAATACAGAAATATTATTATATGACTATGTTATCATTTACACTTTTAAACAGACTGACTTCCATAAATGGTTATTGTTAAAAATAATGACCTTTTATCTCTGTCTTTAGCAAAGACAAAATGTCTCTACTAAAGACATTTAGCAAAGACTCACTATGTCATATTAATCATATTAATGAGAGGTTGAATGGAAGGAAAAGGTTTGGTTGAAAAGTGTGTGCAAACTAGAGATAACTGTGGTTTTGAGGGATTGTGAAGCAAAACTAGTCCAAGCTCTTGTCAAGGTTGGGTCAATACTTTAGAAGCCACCATAAGCAGACATATCCAGGACATGAGCTACATTTGCTGTTATTGTATTAAGTATTAAGCTGCTTCGTAGACTTCTTTTCAAACGAGTAAATTTCCCTTTTGTGGGCGGTAAATTCAGGTCCCTGAGTTTGTAGAAAGTGCAGAATCCAGGTTGCTTGAGATCCAGTGTGAGATTTCCATTGTTAATAATGACGTTAAGGGCACGTGTTGTACGACATATGGGAAAAAAAATAATCTATTTTCTAAACCTCTTTAAACGTAGTTTGTCTCATTTTAAATCTGTTTGATATTCTTTTTCTTTTTATATGCTATTTTTAACTTCCTTGTACTAACACTTTGAATTGTCTTTGCCTTACAGCGTAAAGAAAAACCTTTTTATAGGTGATCATTTTGATATCAAATATCCTTTTATTTGTAACATTCTAATTTTTGTGAAAATATTTTTTTTTAATTTTAGATTTTCATTTGCTGTCCTCAATAATGTTGACAGACAAAAATGCTTCAAATATATCTTTAACTTAATAAAAGTGAGTATATATAATATGTTTTAATTTAATTATTGAAATAAAAGAACAATTTAATAATATTTTACTAAGAATAGTTTAAAAGGATATATTTAAATGCTCAAAAGATAAAAATGCAATTTCACAATCAGGACTCTGAATTTTATGCTCTTGAGAGTCCAAAAAGCGTGATCTTCTTCTACACATACTCAAAAATAACCACAGCAAATCTGATAAAAATAGTAAGCAGGTTGAGCAAGCTAAGTTTAGCTCACATTTAAAAATGGGTGCTTCAGATGTAACACCTCTATCCTCAAGCCACACAAGAAACATTCATAGTTTAGCCATAAAAAAAAAAAGAAATGTCTCTAACTCTGCCCGTTCACATGATTGGTTCTCTGGTTGTATTATTAAATTATCTTACGGTAATGAGTCCCGAACAAAAAAATCAGAGTGGAGATTAAATCTGGAAATTGAACATAAACGTTGAACCACGTTTGCATGATGAAAGCGTGTGTCTCTGGCAGACTGCTGGAGGAGGGGAACCTGGAAGCAGCAGAAGAACAAAAGCAGAGGATTGAACAGCTGCAGAGAGACAGACGGAGAGTCCTGGAGGAGAACAATGTGTCACATCAGCCTAAATTCTTCAGGTAGCATGAGTAGATACACTTACAGTTCAAGCAAAAAACTTTCATTATTCTCTTTTCCCCTTTTTTAGTGTGTTCTGTGCTGAATAGATTATTTTGAGCAATAAAAGGTAAATGCATCTTTCTATTAGTGAAATCTAAACCAAGATGCTACTTAAATTCACTTGTGAGATGGGATTGTTTTATAACACAGTGGTAATGCTGGTGTTTCATTTTGTTTTCAGTCAACATTTTTCATCAAGTAAAAAGGCCTTAACAATGCAGGTAACTAACCTGATAATAGTAAATGAAAAAGGTCCACATGAATGAAATCCACTCTACCACTCAGGTATTTTATGGATCATTGACCAAACATAAGCCAGTTTTTTGCAGGTGAAGTAGGACTCCCTACATTTCTCTACAACACATTCAAGAGACACTACAGCCACCAACATAGCACCAAACTCAATATAAAGACAATCTCTGGCTCTTCTGTGATGCCATATAAAATAAGACAACTGAAACCCATTTATTTAGAAACAAGCTTGGTATTCAACAAACCTCAACGTCAGGTGACAGTCACTTGGTGTCAGATCCATGCACAAAAGGAAAGGATAGTTGTTGTTCTGGAGGAAGGCGCTGAAAAATTCTGTCTTGATGTAAGGCCTTTGAGATTTTTGCCCAGGTCAGTGGTTCAACTGTCATTGTTGCTTGCATCAAGTGCTTTTTCCAGCATAGCAAACACGAGAAACTGTTTCCATCTCATTGTTGAAATGTCAAGATACAGATATCAACTTATTGAAGTCTGAAAACGTGAGATGGGATTGCAATGCTGCATGATGTATAAGAAATCTTCACCCTTACTTGCTTTGTAGCATGTTGCTAGGAGCTCCTGACTGACTGCAGTGACGCAACAGAAGCAGGATGTGTTCTTAGATCACTTTTTCTGAGACATCTCAGACACACGGTGGATATTCTTTTGCAGAACTGGTCGTTCCGTCTGAATAATCACCAAACAGTCCAGCTCTACCACCCACTGCTTAACAAGATGTGAAATGTAGCTCATTACAATTTGCCATTGTCTTTTTTTGTTATGTTTGTTTGGGATTATTTTTTTGCAGTTTGTTTACATTTAATCACAATCAAAATTTGCAAAACATGTCATCAGATAAAAATTCTTATTATTTTTAATTATTTATTTATTTATTTTCTTGAGGATTCTGTAGCTGCAGGGAGCTACAGCACCCTTGCAGTCGCTACTGGGTAAAATAAAAATACAGAAAATAATTATTCCAAACCCCAAAAGTATAACATGCTTAGGATGCCTGAACGAAAGGTTTTTGTCCCAAAAGCCAAATAAAACCATTCATTAAAACAGATGTGATCTATCACTTCTTAGAGGAAGAGAAGGCTTGAGGCTCGTCCATGAAATAATAGAAACCATTAAAATTTGTTGTTTTTCTGACTCAGATCTGGCGTTTATTTTCAGTCTATTAATGTTTCACAATGAGAAGACTGGGGCTTTGGGAAGACCATTTCAGCAGCTTCACGTTAGCCTCATTCATCTAAATTAGTTTTTGGGATTATTGTCCTATTTAAACACTCAGGTTTAATAATCTGATCCAAACTATCACCCTCAGAGAAAAGGAAACTAATTTGGTATGGCATGTTCATGAACATGCCATGAAGTGCTAAGACTCAGAAAGCAGTGAACAGAAATAGAAGCCAGATGTATTCAGGAAAAGTGTTTTGTGAACAGACAAGACAAGATTCAGAATTATCCCAGAAGCTTTTTGGTGGTGAATAAAAATGTGTGGCTTCTCTGCATCTTGGTTAGTGACATTTAAAAACATACTAGTCTGGGTGTATGTATGTCGTGCTGTATGTAAAGTTTTGAAATCTCATCAAATTTAAAAATGTATTTTTGAAAATGTTCTAATAACCCAAAACAATATAATCCCCAAGTCAATAGCAATGAGTGTATGCAAAGTTTTCTTCTCAATGCATAGAACATAAATAATCCGCACAAAAAATGCTGACTCCCTTTGGGTACAGAATTTAAAAGAAATAAAACCCCTTGCCAGATTACAAATGTCTCTTTTGTGCATCATGCATCATGTCACAGTAACTAAAAGGTTGTGAGATAACTTTGTCATCATCATCATGTTCATGCGGCTCTGATTGGGACGTTATCTCCACAGGAAGTCAAAGGAGGACGCCTGGGTCAGCAACAGCACTTACTGGGAGCTGAGGAGAGACCCCGGGTTCTCCCACATCGAGTTTCCAGCACTGTGGTGACCTCAGAACACAGTTTCTACCCGCACAGCCTCCACTGTGACCCAGGCTGGTTCTGGCGATGTCCGTAGCCCACTCCTACCCATCCACATGCTGTTTTCTATATTACAGTCCATTCAAATGATTGCCTTAATAACAAGTGCTTATCTGTGTTGAGTAAATCTGTTCATGGAAGCATTGGGAGGGAATGTTGGTGTTGAAACTTTCACCTTTCACTTTCACTCATATATCTGCATCTTTTTATGTTACGGATTCTCAGAAAAGGGAAGCAACTTGGTAAAATCAATGAAAGAAAATGTCATTGTTTCCATAATTCCAGCTTGAAAATGCTGAATTTCTTAGTCCCTTAAGGTTGTGTCTTATAATGGACATTCTCTACCTCGGAGAAAAACGAGCCTTGCTATTTCAGTGATTGTGTGCACACATGTTTATTCGCCTAATGCCTTACTAGTTGTGCTTCTATTGTTTTTATTTAATTAAACTTTTGCGTTTGCTTTGCTGTTTTGTAAGGATATGCAACAACTGTTGAAATGACCTTCATTGTGCTGAGGGTATCTTCATGTCTCATAAAGTAATTACTTTATAGTTATTACTCTGTGAATGACTGTACGATATTATATGAGCAACGGTAGCCAACATTAATTCCAGTCTCTTGTCACCCATATTATCCATTGCACCATTTTGACACTGGGTTTGGAGTTAAAATAAAGTCCAAATCAATGTTCATAAAAGAGTAATAAAATATCAGTCGTTCCTGTTATTTGTCAAGTTATTTGTTTGTTGTTCCAGGCTGCAGAATAACTAAGTGCATTTAGTCATTCTTTATAGTGCCTTGTAAATAATTTATACACTTTAAACTTTCCCCTTTGCTCATTTATTACATTGTAGCCACAAATCTTAAGATATTTTATGTAACAGGCCAATACATTGTACTGTGTCAGAAAAGGATAAAAACAAGTTTTGGTTTTTTTGTTCGTTTTTTTTTAATTGCAATGGATGAGTTTTGTCTCAATTTATATTTAGAACCCTGCACCTTGATACCAATCAATAAAATCCAGTAAAAAAAATCCAGCTAAAGATTGAGGCAGGTGTTCTCTTTCCACCAGGACAATAACTCTAAACATACAGCCAGAGTATACTTCAAAGTTTTGATAGATGACTTTTAAAGAGTTATTTTGCAAAGAAGAAAGAAAAGAAGGTCAGTTCAATCCTGGTAGAAATATGTCATCAAACATTTGAATCTGAAATGGCCTTGTGAGTCTACAAAGCATAAAGTCAGAAGGGTTGTACACAGATACTCGACCCACACTTTTTATCCTGGCAGTTGTAATTAAATGACAACCATGTTTGCATTTATTTTCATTTTCCAATTATCCCCAGTTTTGTGTTGGTGCATGAGATATATATCATATATAATAACTGTTTGTGTTATTGATATATCAATAACACAAACAGATGTTTGTGGATGTAGCAGCAAATGCAAAAATTTGAGGTACCTGCTACCTTAGCAAATACCTGCATGTGAAGCAACACCTCTTTAAGATTAGCCTGTAATAAAGGTTATCTAAAGATGACTTCAGTTTGGGTGTGGATGGCAGATCATCTGCTCAAATGCATCACTTTGTTCAGTGATGCATTTGTGTGCTCCTGCAGTTTGTGTGCTCCCGTCTTCTTAAAAATTGAACTGGTTCAGAATCTCTCTTGTTGTGTTGGTGTGTTTGAACAAACATGAACGAAATACCTCCTGTTAAAGTATTAATATAGTATATTAAAATTAGCCTATGAAAGACTCAAAGTCATTTTTTACTCATTAAACAGTTTTGTATACAGTTGTCCTGTTTACATGGGGAAAAGTCCAAAAAAGCTGCCCATTTGTAAAGCATTTGAAACCAGGACAACCTTTATAACTCCTTTCAAATGCTTTTGAAAGCAATAAAGCCTTTGCTGATATGCAGACACTTACCTTTACCATAAAGGTAAGCATAAAGTGCCTGCATAACTGTGTAAAATGAAATCTTTGCGATTAAGTGGAAAGACAGTGTGGCTTGAGTTCTATAGCAACAACTGCTGATTATCCTGGATAACCAGGGCATTTTTGAAATGTTATTACATATTTTAAAAGCTGCAAGACTTCATTCCAGTTTTCTAATGAGCCAAATTAAACTAACAAAAAATTCCGTAGCTGAAAAAAATTCTTTTTCGTGAAGAAAAAGAATTGAAGAAAATTGAAGAAAAATCTGTGCAGCTAATCTGTATGCTCTGTATGCTGTATGCTCAGGTCAGTTCATTTCCCCCTTAGAATGGAAAATTCGAGTGATTGAATTTTAGCAGCCACTAGGTGGCAGCATAGATCAATAATTTGAGTGAAGTTATTGGTGCCTAAACGTTTTGCCATAAGGGCCAAAATAATAGTAAATGTTCTTAGGGGTCACAATAGTAGTAGTCATAACAATGTTAATAATAGTAAATACAAAATTTATTATTTTTGCCCTTTTTAATTTGATCTGCTAAATAATGAACTCAACGTGTTCAATATTCTATTTAAACTAATGAAAAAAAAATATTTTTTTGTAGAAAAGGGCTCTGTAAAATAGGCCTCTTCAAACGACAGCCGATCAGCCATATGCACCCGAGGTCATTTAAAAATGGCCACGATCTTGCAAGAAAAACACAGAAACAAAACAGCACATGGGTTACTTCCTCCTGAAACATGAAATAAAATCCATCTTTAATGCCCTGCTATGTAGATTCTCTTCGTTCCAGAAATATGGTCGGCGGCCGAATAAAGTCAATCAACGGGCCGCAAATGGCTCCCGGACCGCACGTTGTCCTCTCCTCATTTACAGCAAACCTTCCGGTCAGTACTCAGTTTTATTTGTTGCTTCAACAAGCACATTTAGAAGCCAACTGGAGAAGGCTCGTCAAGAAGCGAGATGTTCCCTGTGGAAGTGATTTGTGACGGACTGAAGGAAAAGAAAGTAAGGTGAGCGCTTCCTGTATCGAGGGCGGGGCTTCTTCCTGTCCTTTGTCCAAAACAAACTGATCAGGTTCACAGCAGTTAGAGCCTCCTTGGTCACGTAACTTTTTATAACTAGCTTCGCACGAAAGCAAAAACTCCAGAGAAGCGGTGAGAACATGTTTCATGAGTATATATTGTGTGATTTTGATGTTTCGTCGATAAACGGACGGCTTCGATAGAAACAAAAATCTGTTTGTAGATGCTAGGTGGTTCGAGCTACTTTAGACGTTGAACTATAGAGTTTAACCCGAGTTTTGCGTTATTGAAGTTCAGCGGATCAGAGACCAGGGTTCTGCAGGGTTCTGCAGGTGCCAGGTGGAGGTAAACGTGCCCGTGTCTTGTTTCCGGCCAACCTGATTTCTCTTTGTCCGTCAGCCGCAGCAGACATGTTTGCCATAGCAACCAAAAACTTTGTGAAGGAGGTGGATGCCGGGGGCTTGCTGATCCCAGTGTCCAGCCCGAATGACAACATGGAGCTTCTGACGGTGGTGGTGAAGAAGAATCGCCCCTGGTTCTGGCAGAAACCCAAATATCTTCCTACTGACTTCACCCTGAATGACCTGCTGACAGGCGATTCGCCCATAACACCAGGTAAGTAAAAAAAAAAACTAAACAAAAACAAATCCAAACCACCCATGTTGTTTTTTTTAAGCATTTTACTTCAGTAAAGAGACAGCAAACCTTGAATGGCTTATTTATATTTGCAGGTGTGCTCGATATAGACTTCATCAAGTACAGCGGCACATATGGTAAAGACATGCTGGGAGCCGTGGATGCCAGTTTTGTCAAAGCCAACCTGAAAATACAGAGCGAAGACTCCTCCAAACTCAAGTTGTCCTTCGGCAGTCTGAAGAAAGAGGAGGTGGACGTCCCGAAACTGATGCGAGAATCCAAAGGCAGGTTAGCTCTCTTGACTGTCTCCACTCTGATTTAAATGTCCCACTGAAGAAACATAAACAAAAGGATTTTCTTTCCCCCTCATGCATAACGTTTAAGAGGGATTGATTAGAGATGATCATATTTTTCTATGTACAATAAATAAACAAATCAAATAAAATGACAGGCCTTTTAGTGCTTTCATAGAACCAGACTTTCTCAGAATATCGTACATTTGTGTTTTTTGTTTTGTTTTTGTTTTAAGAGTTCTGGACATGTCACACTCTCTGATCCAGCAGACGAAAGAGAAACAGAAAAATGTGTTTGGCATTGTGAAGGAGCGCATCATGACCACGCAGCCATGTTCCGTCGTAGAGGACGTGCAGCAGCAAGGACTGCTCGGAGGGACTCTATGTCCCTGCATCCCCAAAGCGTCAAAAGTACAGTGAATAAGAACGACCACAGACACCAAACACATTCATGTTTACAGTATCTCTATGTTAAGTTTGTTGTAAAAGAATCGTTCCATTTTTGCTCGCGTGATGATTGTGAGAATTGAGTTCTCTTTTTCATGTTGCCCAATGTAAATATGGCGGATTTGAGAAATGGGCTACTAGTAGGTGTCTTACTGTTCCTGAAACTAGTTTCAGTTCTGCATGCAGCTTGGTATATTATTCACTGTTGAGCAGAGGGAGCTGAAATATCGTTCTATTTAAAAAGACATAACATGTGGCAACTGCATGCACGCACATCTGAGTCATTGTTAACACAAGTCTAAAATTGGATTTAATTAATGCCCAAGTCTAGAAAACGATTAAAAAAATGAAACTTGAATAAGATAAACATATTTTTAATTATTCACCATCTCATTGCCTACATTATAAATACCATAATTTCTAAAATTATGTAAAATCAGGGCGTGCTTTCCCCAGATTTGTACAGAAGATCCTCACTTATCACACTGATGTCTCCCATTTGTCCACTCTTCTAAAAATTGGTCATAAATGGACTTAAAATGCCAGAAACTTCAGTCTCAAAAATTGTCAGAACGCTGACAGCTGGAATTGTGATATATTGGCAGTAGAAATAATATTTTAAGGTTGGAACGATAAAGAAAAACAGATTTTATATATATTTTCTTTTCAATGGCACAATCTATAAAAGTTATGCAATCATTTGCAGTTCAGTAAAAAGCTAAACCTCGGGTTTTGCTTTAAAAAGACCCATTTTAATGTGGTATATTATGTCTGAGCTTTCCTGAAGCTCTACTAACTTTCCACCCAGATTTTACTGACGGAAAATGGAAAGTTGAGCAAAGACTCCAATGTTACATTGGAGATTCCTCCGCAAACCACGATGGCCTACGGCATCATAGAGCTGGAGATCAAAAACGATGGGCACTTTGGTGAGGATACTCTAAACTCTATTTAACAACTTTTGCTTATTTAACAAGGCAAAAATGATGAACTGTCTATGAACTTTTTTTCCACAGAGCTGTGTGTGATGTCAGGTGGAGGTTTTGAAGTAGACGGCCCTGATGAGAAGAGGCTGCTGTGTTTCTCAGAACCAACGAAGAATGCGATTCAGCAGGGTAAAATTACTGTCTGTTTGTTTTTTTTTTTCTCTTTTTCTTTTTTCTGTCTTATCTTTTAAACTGAAAATGGCATCATTGATGATAAATGTTGCATCACAAATACACTCTGAAGCTTTAGGAATATGGTAATATGATAGTTATAAGCTCTGACTTACGTTAGTGGATCTTTTCTGGCCCGTGTGATAATCTGTGAAGTGCAGAATAGTTGCATACCCAAATGTCTTGAGACATTTCTATTTTTTGATGTTTAGATTTAAAGGAGAATGTAAATTAGTCCTGAACAGTATCACCTCTGGCTTTAATGTTTTCATTGCTCAGTAACCACTCTTTTCTGATCAGGGGTTGCTGACTGTTCAGTAGACGAGGATGAAAAGCTAAAGGAGACGGCGCTTTTGCAACAGTGACCTTCAGACGCTGGAATTGTCTCCGTCTGAACTTGAGATTTGTGGATTCGGTGGCCTTATTTCAGAGCTGACAACACTTTGCTCTGGCCTTTGCTTTGGTTTTGTTTTTTTAAAAGCACTTTGTAATACTTTTCTTTAAATAAAAATTTTGTTTGCTTACTCTATGCCCTCATTCTCATCTGCAGACCTGACTTTTTCATTGCTTTGCCAATCAACATAACTTTAATTTCAGTCATTCGAAGTGTGAAGTGGTCACATTTTAAATCTACCACTTCACACTTTGTCACTAGTAGCCTTTTTTTTTTCAAAGCTTTTTAAGATTTTATACCGCTTCTTTACTGCATTACTTGACCAGGTAATTTATTTAGACACCTTCTGCTTCAATAGTCAGGCACAAAGACTGGTGAAAGCTCCAATAAAAACCAGCCATGGTCTAAAGTATATAGAAGTTGGGAGCCGACTTAAGACTTTTGCTCAGCCCTGGTGACAGATAAAATTTACAATTGAAACCAAAAGTTTACACTCCCTGAATACAAAGATACATCTCGTTATTTTTTTCCTCATTGCCTGAACTGAAATCAGATCATATTTATCTCGTTTTAGGTTAGCTGTAATTACCTAAATTACTTCTGTTCCCTAAATGCCACTACAATGACAGAAAGAATATGTCATATGTATTTATTAAAGTCTTCTAAATCAGAAGTTCACATAAGTTTCCCTTGTATTTGGTAGCGTTGCCTTTGACCTGTATGATTTGGTTCAGATGTGGGTTTTCGTCCACAAGATTCTCACCGTAGTTTGTCGGCTCATTTCTCCTAACAGAACTGCTAGAACTGGGTCAGGTTTGCAGGCTGCCTCACTTGCATGCGCCTTTTCAGATCTATCCCTACATTTTCTATCAGTCTGAGATCAGAGCTTTGTGATAGCTGCACCAAAACATTGATTTTGTTTGGCAGTAGTTTTAGGGTCATTGTCACCATCATACTTCAGGGTTGAGATGGTGTTCCCAGGCTTCCAAGCATCCCCCTTTTTCCAATGCTCATTACGCCTCAAATAGTTCCACTTTAATTTCATCAGTTTCATTGACTTTCATTTTGGACGTGTCTCCAAAATGAAAGTCTTTGACCGTGTGTGCATTTGTAAACTCCAATCTGGCTTTTTTATGTCTCTTGAAATAACGGCGATGTAATTTGATGTTTTTTATCCCAGAACTGGAGAAACTGAAGGATCATTTCCAGCAGCTTTCCACCCTCCCAGCCTCTGCCAGGTCGTCTCTGTTCCAGCACATCACAGGACTGATGAAGGAACCGGCAGCCATTGGCGCACTTCAGAACATGGTAAACATGCCTGGTTTTTTATTATAACATCAACAGAGCGAATAACTGTCGGTGCTTCTCTCTGTGACAGCTGGACCAGATGTATCTGGGTAAGAAACCCAGCCTGGATGATGACGGACTAAAGGAATCTCAGCAGCAGAGCATCCAAGCAATTTTTGAGGTGTTGGAGAAATCTGGTGCAGAGGACTCGACTCAGAGCCCAGTCCTCATCGCATTGCATCTGGTTGTCAGTGCGTTAGAGGGTAAGAAAAGTCCCCAGTCTAGAAAGGAATAAAACTGAACTGTTGTTTTTGTTGGTTTTTTTTACATTGTTTATGAATTTTATCTTTCAGAGTTACCAGATGATTGTCTTCCTGTTTTAAGTGGTTGCAGTAATCCTGCAACCCTACAGACTTTGGAGCTACTGGTTAGTGAGGACCGTCCCCCTCCAAGTTAATTCAACAGATCATTTTAAAGGCGGAAGCTGAATTATTATTTATTCTTTTAAAACACATGGCTTTCCTTACATTTGTTCTAGGTGCAGTGTGTGTCAGGAACCCGGGAGACGACTCTGAGCAGCACAGCACTGCCAGATGACGACTATGAAAGGACTGAACATATTTTTGCCTCCTGTAATGTGTCTCTACGGAGAGACAGCGATATTTTACGGGTTGAAATCAAGCGTGAACCAGGAAATCATCCCCTGATTCTCTGCATCGCTATTAAAAGTCTCGCCTCTTTAGCCTGCGGCTGTTGAACCATATGAACTGTATATTGATTAAAAGGAAATCCAATACATTATGTTTTCTTTGGGGATTTAGTCAGGACATTTATAAATAAGTGCTTGAAACATAAATGTGAGGATGAACATTGGTCTGAATATTTTTTATTGGCAGATTTTACATTGTATGGGATTTAGACTTCATTGAATTGAATGTGATCAAACTTAAACAGGCACCATCTGATAATTAGAAATGTGTTTTAGCAAAATTCATATTTTATGTGCTAGTACAACATAGTTGTAGAACTGTGTTCGACAATAAGCCTCTTGTGGCTTGAGATTGTTTTTGCCCTTTTCAATTTTTTATATAAAACTAAAGAAGTCCTTTACAAATTGATTTAGGCTTTGATTGTTGACTGAATGGTGTTTTCTTTATAACTTTGTAATTTTGTGTTTTTATTATGTGAAACACTTTGAACTGCCTTTCTGCTGAAATGTGCTATACAAAAAAACTTGATTGTTTTGCTTAAAGCATCCAAGGCCGTCTTCTACCACAGCTGCTTGTATTCATGGGCCTCACTTGCCAATTTTTAAAAATGAGAAGTTGTGCATAATGAAATGATGGTGCTTCCTTATTGAACAGCATCTTGCAAAGATACCCAGTTTTCTGATTTTGAGTAAAAAGTTTTGTTCATTTAGGATTTTCTGTGACAGACCAACAAATTAGCAAATAATTATCAAAGATGATGGGATAGGTGGTTTACAAAAAAATCTAAAGTGTGAATGATGTTTGTTACCCTGACACTTGAATACAGGCGTTTTGTGAAATGGTACAATCACAAGCTTCTTTGGATTTCAGTGGGATTTTATTAGATGGATCGAAACATTAAAAAAATTTTGTTAAATGGAAAGAAAATGATGTATGTTTTTATTATTTTGTTTCCACAAATAAAACTCTTAAGTGCAGCAGGTATTTGTGCTTGGCTTTGTTCTTTCTGACACCACTAAATAACATCCAGTGAAATTATTTACCTTGAGAAATTTATGCTCAGTAAAAATCCAGCTGGCCTATGAAGGCCTCAGAGATTTGTTAGAGAAGTTTTGTGAACAGCATCATTAAGATCAAGGAATACAGGTAAGCCAGTGATAAAACTAAAGTTTAGGCTGTGAAACCAAAAAGCCACAAAGTTACAATTAGTCCAAATGTTGTTTGGTGCCGTAATGTTAAGAAGTTCAAATAATGTGGTTACTTCATTTTGTGGTAAAGTCATTTTGATTGAAATCTGAAGATTTATCAATTTGGACAAGAGTGTTTAATAGACCTAAACCACAGATGAAGTTCCAGAGTTCATATAAAACATGGAAGTGGTCCAGGAAATAACTAGATCTAGAGACATGTTTCAGAATAATTGGTCCAAGTTATGTTTAAGAGCTCCAGAGTGTCAAGGATATGTTTAATAGTTATTTGTAATTTTTATTAAAATATTGAAGGTTTCAACAGTGTGATGGCATTTATAAAAAAGCTTCATCATTGCAAAAGTCTAAATATTATGGGACATTTATGGAGAAATTTCTAAAACTGAATGTTTGCTCACTGAATGGACAGGAGGGGATTTTTACTGAAAAAGACACGAAGCAGATCATTAGAAAACACCTGTTATTTTTATTAAACATCTGAAAATACATTTTATCTGAAATCTTGTACAATATACCTTTAGTAAGCAAATATGAACATTAATTAAAACTGTTAAGTCTTAGTATTATCACATCTAAAGGGATAGTTTACTGAGATGAAGTACCCTCTTCAACGGCCCTGGGTAAGTTTTTTTTTTTTTTCTTTTTAAACACAAACACAGCACCAAATCCACTGGTTTAACAGTCCAAAAACTTTAAATACTCTACCTGTCTAACAGTTAGCATTATTATCAGAATGGCTTTTGTGCTCCAGTGAACACTGGATAAATACTACAGTATTGCTTTGCTTTCTGTGCAACTTCAGTGATCAGAGGAACAGTTTTCAGAGAGAACACTGAACTAAAATAATGTAGGGGAATACATTTTAGCAGTAAGAAGATATAAGAAACATGATGAATGACTAAGTTTGTAGTGACAATGACTTGAAGCATACACTGTAAACTTAACACTGAGGTATCACATCCTTTTCTTTGACAGAGCCCTCATTTTAGGAGAATAAATAAAACTTACCTTAACAAAATGTGAAATTCGACAAAGTGACAGATGATTAAAAGCAATTTGACAAAAAAGCCTCATCCATTTAAATAGAAATACTCTCTAAAAAAACATTTGCCACTAAATAAGTACACTTCCTGTTTCTTTTGGACAGTTGCATAGTGTGTTGAAAAAGAAAACTGGCGATTTAGATTAAGGTGACGGATGCAGTTCGTACCAACGTGGTTGATGTCCCATTCTTCATGTGTGCGGCACAGTGTTGAAAAATTGTGTTTAATCCCAGGCCCGGCAGCTCAGACAGCAGGTCCACTAGGAGGAGCTTCAATACACCCAGCTGACTGGAACCCACTGCGGCTCGACAAATAATCGCTCCACGGCATCTTGCAGCTTATCAAACGCCTTGTCCAGATTGTCATTGACTATAGTCAGGTCAAAGTAGTGGCTGTACGCCCGGCGGATCCTGGCACTCTCATCTACAGTTTTCTTTAAGTCGTTCTCCTGCAATAGAAGCAGGAGTCCAAATTTACTCTGATGGCATCAGCTACCTGCCATCACCTCAAAGTACACGAACAGGAATTTCTCAGGATTACCGTGAGGATTTTGGTGGTGAGGCCAGCATCGACCACGGCTTTGTGCATGTCTCTTAGCGTGTCCCGCTCAGGAGCAGCGATAAACACCACGAATGGCATAAACTCTGCAGTCTTCAACACCTTCAGGGCCTGTGCAAAAACTGTGATGTCACAACCAAAGCTTCAGGGCGAAACAGCAGAGGTACAGGTAAGATATTACCTGAGGGTTCACGTCCAGGATGCATGTGCGGCCGGCCTGCACCACCTCGTGGATGGAGTCGATTTTGGTGCCGTAGAGGTTCCCGTCGTACTCACCGTGCTCCAGGTACCGGCTCTCCTTGATGTCACGCTCCATCTCCTCCCGAGTCACGAAGCAGTAGTTCTGCCCGTCTTTCTCCTCTTCTCTGGGATGGCGGGACGTAACTAAAGCCAGAAAAATGGTCACACATAGTGTCTTGAAGAATTCTTCCCCTGTCTTTTTTTGTGGGGGAACTTAATGTGAGAAACCAAAACAGAAAAGAACATTAGTGAGGTGAAAAGGAAAATAAAAATCTGAAAAGTTTGGCAAGCCTTTATATGATACCAATTTAACTAAGTGAGCTATTTTGAAAACAGTAATGGGCAAAAGACACAAGTGTGTATTTGGTTGGGACAGACAACATGAACTGCATCTGGAACAACAATCAATGGCTCGAGAAATGATTGATTCAGGGCAACTGAAACACTTTCAGATTTTTTGTTACTAAATGTGTCAGTGGAGACGTTCAGTGAATACTGGCAACACTCTGTAGACAATTTATGTAATTGTCCAGGTTTGTCTGGCACACTCACAGGGGACGGTGGCTCCATATCTCAGAGGATTCATAACAACAAGGCGGTTCTTCAGGCTCCTCCGTCCGACCCCCTGGGCTCCGATCAGAACCAACGTTTTCCTTCGAAACGGGGGCATCCTGGCCACTTCCTCATATATCTGCAGCTCATAACGGTCAAACTCTGCTCAAGGCAATGCACACACTGAATGAGAACTGCATCATCTCAGATGCATTTAGACAAAAACACCATGAAGCACATTAGCTGATACACACCTGCGTTCTTAGAAGTGAGGTACATCATTTTTTTCTTCTTTTTCTTTGCAGTCAGAGTCCCACAGAGCATCCCTGAAACACAAACACCAAATCCAAAGCGCAGCTGTCAGAGAGACTCAACAATGATGTCTGGTTTGTTGGAGAACTGGGGACGTGACGTGTGCTGACCTGTACCAGCAGTGTCCCAGTCTCTCCTCACAAAAGCTTTTCTCTTCTCCTCCAAGAACTGACTGGGAATCAGGCCAGTCGCTCCACCAACAACTTTGCGTGCCTTTGTCAGAATTAAAACAGTTGAGAAAAGAAATGAGGCTGATCTCTTAAATGTGGCACTCAGGAAAAGGAAAAAAAAAAAAAACAACCTAACATTTTGACTGAATCTCAACTACATTCTCTTATATATGCCAGTACCTGGTCTCCCTATTGACCTTTGATCCTTTAAAATGGGGATCGAGATTGTATTAAATCTATGATGTTACTTCTGTACACAGTGAAGTTGTGGAAATATTTTTATAAAACCAATGCTCTTCCAGATTCAACTATGCAAAGAAAAAGGCCTTGATTTCTTTAGATCTCTTTAGTGAACCTTTTGCTCTAAAGGTTCTTAATCAAACTATTTAAATCCAATTTCCAAACTCGCATAATATATCAGAAATATATCATCTCATTAAGATGCTTCCATCTTAAGTGAGGAAAAGGTGGAGTCATGCCCACAGATATATTTCCAATATCTATCAGTGATACTACTGAAATTATATGATTTCTTAGTATTTTGGAGCCCTACTCCAAACATCAAGGAAGAACACAGAAAATAAAGACTAAATAAACCAGCCCTGTGCAAATCTGTACATAGTATTTCAGTATTTCTTGGTGTTGTTGACTCACCTGCCACCAGTTGGGGTCCTCCTTGTTGACAACATGAAGTATGTCTCCTTTAGCAAAGGCCAGGCCTGCCTCTTTACAAGGGATCAGGTTGTCTGTAGTTGGGTTGTAACTGAAGTATGGCTTCAAATAAACCTACAAGTTAAGAATTAAGGTGAAATTCAGTTGAAAAAAAACCCAACTTAAATGTATAAAATTCTCTTTAAAATGCCTATGAATCTTTTACATTGGTGTGGAAGAATTTTGGTATTTTTTAGCATTAACCACACATTTATGGGCATGCTGCAGCTTCAAAAACAGATTGAATCTGAACTACTTCATTTGGAAACCTTCATTTTGTTCTAAAGGCATTCAAAGGTGGACCAGTGGGTGATGTGTAGGATCAGCACGACCCAGCTGTGTTTGTGCTTTATCTCACTAGGCCTAGGTTGGACATTCTGCTTCAGGATTTTCCAGTAGAGTGGAAATCATGGTTTCATTTATTTAAATATTTGACTTACTGCCAAACTGATGCCGAGACCATTCCTGTTTCATCCACAGATTCCACTCCACGTTGTTGTTTTATCTTATTTTTCAGGAGTTATGAGGCACGAGGCAAAGTTACTCAACCAAAGTAAGGGGATCTTGAAACTGCTTGTTACCCAGCAGGTTGTTACTAGGTAACCAAAGAGCAAGTTAGTTGATGCCATTCACTTTGCTCAGCTGGCCTTGAGAGGTTAAGCAGGCAAAAGCCTTTCCTCTGCCTACATCCGCCAGAATCCCATGTGGATCTGGATCAGTTTATTCTATATATTGTATATTCTACGAGATGTATTACCTGCTGATATTGATCACATGTTTATCATGACATATACTGTTTTGGATTCATTATCCAACCCTATCACCACCATGTGTTGAGCGCTGATGACTCTTGGCTGTGATATTTACCTCAGAACATTCCCATAAATGTAATTTTTTCACTCCCTTTCGTAATGCTGAATTATGAAAACTGAAATGTTTAACGGCGGCATGGGCCTGCAGTGACAAAAGTAAAGCTGAAATCTGTTGCGAGTTTAAAATATCTCAGAATGAGTATTGAATAATTTATTCTGTTAGCATAACTGAAAGCTAACAAGGACATTAAAAAATAGTAGAAAAGAGGGATAAATTGGTCCCATTTGGCAGAGATGTCAGTGTGTGACATAACCTTACACACTCTGCCAGTGCCAGCCGCTGTGTGTGCCTGTTAGAGTGAGGACCAGAG